TTCCTGAGGGACTCTGATGAGACTGGAGGAAGGCGGGTGACCCACAGCTGGAGGGCCAGGTCTCTCTATCAGCTGGTTGGGTCAGCTCTGCCAGCTCCCGGGTAGACAGAGCACCCCTCCCCAGGCCTGCCTAGCCCTAGGGAAAGGCCAAGGGCGGTGAGAACATCTCACCTCAAGCATAAGGAGCAGCAGCAGGGCCACATCCAGGTCTGCTCTGGCTCTTGCTCCTTTTCAGAGCTGAATAATCAGGAGCCTTAGAAGAAGGATTTCTGAAAAGCCATCAGGAGTGAATCATTGACGTAGGGAGGCGATGAATCAACGGGGAGTTCATAAAACGGCAAATGAATTGGGTGTGACAGCGACGGAGCCACTGCTGTTCCCCAGAACCCTCTGGGGACGGAGAGCCAAGAGAAAAATAAAAATAACACGGGCCTTCCGCCTGCTACAAACCCAAGTCAGCCCCTCCTTCCATGTGGAAAGACAGAGTGGGACAGAGGACGAGACTCGCTGGTGGGTGCCGAGGGGCCGGAGGGAGCTTCCTGGGCCACTCCCAGTTGCCTGGGTCCAGGCTGTGGGTGCAATTAGCAAATGCCTTTTTTTCTTCTTTTCAGGAGCCCTCACAAGAAAGAACACTGATTTTGACGAACACCCAAAATAATGTGAGATCAGGCACCATGCATTATGCATGAGGTCTGATTTAACATGAACATTATTTCTTGTGTACGAGACCATATGCCTCCGTGCTGTCTCTGCAGCCTAATAATACCCAGACCGCCCTGGCTAGGAGCAGCAGAGACATGTCCGCTGGTGTATGTGCGTGTGTGTGTTGGGGGTGGGGTGCGGGGGTTGAGACAGAGCCTCCTGGGACTCAGCTTATTTGAGGAGAGCCCACTCACGTGCCCTGGTGGTGGACGGGTGGTAAGAGGTGCGTCGTGCTCCTGGAGAAACACCAGGGAGCTGGGGGTGGGTGTAACGGTGTGACAGTGCCACTGTGCGTGTGTGACATCAGGAGCCCGTTTGACTAGGTGATGCTGTGCAGGGCTCATATGCATGGCGATGTGGGTGCATATGTGTAGCTGAGGTTTTGCTGCACGAGATGGATGGAGGCAGGAAGAGATCTAATTGCTGTGTGTGTTTGTATATATGCATGCATATGTATGTGTGGGGGTGTGTGTTTAAAAAATAAGATCACACATACATACAAACACACAGCCTTACTTTAATTATCTGAAGAGATCTGGGTGGAGCTGGGACAATGACGGGCAGGGATGTGTTTGGAAAGTGGTTTGTGGGGGTAAGTGCTTGGAAATCCTGAGAGAAAGGAACCTCATCAATGCTACAAAGGATGAGTGTGTGTGCTTAGCCACACATTACATGTGCCAGGTACCCGGCAACTCCTGAGAGCTCAGTGCCAAAGACCAGAAAGCTGGTATTGGATAGCCAGAACCCTGGTGTGGTGTGGCCATGAGTGTGTAAGCGTGTGTGTGCGTATGTGTGTGTGAGTTGGCAAGGGTTTCAGCAGGCTTGAGAGGAATGATGATGATGAGTGTGAGAGGGAAAGAGACAGCAGAGGTAGTGAATGACGGTGAACTGCTGAGAGTGGCTGTGCAAATGGGTGGGGTGAGAGGGAAGGATCATGGGGGCAAGCACGTATGTGTATGCATTCGTGCGTGTGTGTGTGTGTGTGTGTGTGTGTGTGTGTGTGTGTGTAGCAGGATTGCTTCCTTTGAAGGCTAAAGTTGCCTCAGCTCTAACTGGCACCTTCTGCAGAGTAGCCAACTTGAAGCTGATTTGTCTGGTGGGGAACGCTCAGTACCGAGATGGCCCTGGTGTCTGCTGCCATGTCCCAGCTCAGGGACCAATAGAGGGCAGTCCTCCCCCATAGAGGCTTCAGAGGTGGCAATGGGAACTCTGAATGGTCGGTCAAACACTTACTCCAGTGTCTTCAAATATGCCAGGCAGGGACCAAACCGATGGTTTTGGCTGCCTCTGGCCTCAGTTGCTAAGCTGATGCTCTGGGTTCATGATTGATTGTCTTTGCTAAGCTTAGGAGGAGCAGCTGTGCCAGATGCCGAACTTCCTTTCTGTCCTCCTCCTGTTCAGGTGGGGATTTTGTTGGGATCTCCTTCCTGGAGCTCAAGCCCTGCTGGAGAGGGCCCAAGGGAGGGAGGCAGCCTGGTTCCGTACATGCTATTGGGAGCTTGCCCCTCCGACATGCTGGCCCAGAGCCTCTCCAGAAGAAGCTGAGTTCCAGAGAGCTCAAAGTGGGCAGCTGTAGTTGGGACTCAGCTAGTCCTGTGGACACCCAATCAAGTCCTGGGGTCATGGGGTGACTATGAATCTTGTGCAGGACCCACGCCACTCAAAACATAAGCTAATGTATCTTCCTAGGGTAGGAGGTTGGGAAGAATATAGGTGTCCTTGGGGCTCTAGGAGAGGCTGTGTCTGGCAGGGTCAGGCTTCCTGCTCAGGGCAGGGCACCTTCTGGGTTTGCCTTGATGACTGCAGGTGACCACAATAGCTGCCTTCCTTCCCGCATTGGCCAACCTCCATCCTGCAAATGCTCTCCTAGCTCAAAGCATTAACAGTGTAACATGGATACCTTCCCCACCCTACCTCTGGAAGCAGCTATGGATTTGCACGCACAGTGGAACACACACATACTCGTACACCAACATGCAGAGGTTCACATGGGAGGGTGAAGCTCTACCAGAATATGTACCTAAATTGATCATAGAAAATAATTTTGTTCAAATGAGAAGGGGAGGGAGATGGAATCAGAAAATTCTTGCTAGAGACAGCTTTGGCTTCCTCTGAAGTCGATGCTAGGGACATCTGCCTTGAACGAAAGAAGTCTGAGGTTCTCAAGAGCAAGCAGGTAGATACACATACACACGGGGTAGATGAACTGCGTTGGAGCTGAGCTGACCTTGCTTTTCCTAAACTCCAGTCTATTGAGGGAGTGAGATTTAATGGCACAAAATATTTCTCTCCCTATGGTTCTCTCCTTATAAAGTCAAACTTCTGAGGTTCTTCCTATTCATCCCTAGGCTGGAAAATGGGGGAAGCAGCCCTGGACTTCATGTGACCAAGGGGTTGGTCACTGTAGGTAGCAGTCCCAGGCTGGTGTCTCATTAAGCGAGATCCTCGAAAAGTGCAAGATTTTCTTCCATCCCTTTTCCCACTATTTTTTTTTTTTTTGGTTTTTGTTCTATTCCTCAGCTGCTGCTGGTTCTTGGGAGGCCGCTTTGTTTTGTTGTTTTTGAGTTGACTTGCTTAAATAATAAACCCACCCTCTTGTGCAGGATTAAGCAGACAATTAGGAAATCAATCAATCAATTGGTGTCAGCTGCAGGCCGAGCAAGTGAAAGGCCCCATCTTTCCAGTCGCCCTTCCCAACCTTAAAACTTGCTGAGGCTCAGAGCGGGGTGCAGGCAGTGGGGAGCTCTGAGCTTCCTTTGCTTCCATTTCAGGGCCCTGAGGCTGAGATAAATCCAGGAATGGAGAAATCAGGAGGGAGTGAGGCAAACGTGGGACTGTTTCAAAGTTGTGTACTTAGGGAAGCAGGAAATGAGAGGCCGAGGTAGGGTGGCCAGTGGCTCCTGGCCATGTGGCCACCATGCCAGACAGTTCTCAGCCTCCTGTTGAAGAAGCACTGGGGAGGCTCACTGGCCCACCAGCATGGGGAACGGTAGGGATGCTGGTGCCAATTACAGGGCTAATCGCTCCCTAGTCTGGACTAAAGGAGGGAAAAGAAAAAAACGAAAGGAGTAGTGAGAGGCTGAACCTTTGAAAACAGTGGCGGCCTTTGTACTTGCAGAGACAATTCCCCCCAAGACTGAGGAGCCGAGCCCATAAAGTCGCTAGGAACTCACAGCATGGCACAGCCATTCTGAGCCCCGTGCCCGGCCAGGGATCGCCGTACTGGGGGCCAGAGAACACCTCTCTGCGCATCCCGATGCTGTTGCTGGAGCCAAGGCCTCTCCTAGGCCTGGGCAACATCCTTGGTGGGAGGAGCCCACATACACCCTCACCAGGGGCCACAACGTTCTCCCCCGCCAAGCAACTGTGCCCTTGCGCCTTGGCTCCACAAAGAGTAAGAGAAACCTCATGCGGTTCCCTGAGAAGGGAAATAACTGCATTTACAGAGGAAACAGAAAGAGCTATTTTATTAGTATTTTAAAGAGTTGCTTTAATTTAAAACCTCCCCCCAGAACTCAAGATCTTGACTGGGATACAGGTAGTCTTGGGCTTTGGGCCTGGAATCCCAATCTGTCTCCACCCATCCTGACCCTTGGGGATGCTGCTGCTGAAGTCTTGAGAGGGGACTATGTCTCCTACAGGCAGATGCATCACTCCCTGGGGGGTTCTTGGGCACCCAGCCCTGGAGAGATGCCAGGCCTTTCTGGTGGCACAATTGTTTGTGCCCCACTTCTCTCCAAGAGAAGTTGGGGCAGGTGGCTTGTTGAAAGAGAAGTAGGACTGGCTTTGCCCAAGCAAGCAGGTAGGGCTCCCTCCCCAGGCTGACTTGGCTCCACAGAACCACTGGCCCGATCTCTATCTAAGCCCTTGAACTCCGTGTGGATCCAGGTGGGCTTGGGCATCATTTGTTTGTGGGTAGAGAGGCAGCTGGGGTGGGCTGGTGAGCCCAACAAGCCTTCCAGCTGCCCTGGGGACCCGGAACAGTGACGTTGGCCTGGCCCCTACACATGGAGTTGCAAAGCGAAACTAACATCAGGGATTGGGGTGTCTGGCAGGGGACACAGAAATGCCAGGCTGGTGGTGCGGCCACGGCGGGCTTCTTCCTCAGCCAAAAAGAGCAGATGAGTTGTGCCTGAAGAATGGCTGACCTAAATTCAGTGTAGTGTCTGTGGTTCACTATCCCAGGCCCTGGTCTGGCCTTGGGAGAGTCTGTTTATGGCAGGGGGGCATGAGGCAGATTCACCTTCCCTAAATACACTCACCTGGGGCAGGGGCCCAACTGTTGCCTACGTAACAGGCAGTCGGGTCCTGATACTGGCCTGGAAAGATCTGTGCGGTCACCTTCCTCCAACACCTCCCCGACTATGGCCAGAACTTCAGGACAGGTGAGCCAGGGAATCCCACCACTTCACCCCAGAACCAACCCAGCCCTGGGAGTAAAGAGGACAGGACACAGCCCTGGGGTACATGTTTATGTGAGTAATAAAATATTTACTATAACATAAATATAAAGGGAACTTCCCAGTCTACATTTTTTTTGCAATAAAGATACAAAGAGAATGCACCAAAAACATCGTTCCAAAAAATAATAAAAAATAAAATAACAAAATTTAAATTCAAACTGTAACAAACAGAACAAGAAATGGAGAAAGGGGGAAGCTCCAAACACATCCAGAAAATAAATAGAGATGGGTCAGAAATCCGGAAATCATATTAAAATATCTTTTTCGGATTAGTTGTGTACAAAATCCTTTAGGATGGGGTGTGGAGAGGCAACGCAGAAAACCAAAAATAAAAACCAAGCACAAAATGTTTCTTCTCCCCGCCAGTGTGTACATATCTCACATATTTACATGGTTCCCACCTCACCCCAAACTTGAGTAATTTCTCGCCCCGCCTCCCCCAGCATCCCACATCCCAGGGGGTCAGCGGCCTGGAAAGGGAGCTGAGTGAAGCCGCAGGGAATCAGGCAGAAGGTTCTCGGGGAACAGCTTATTTCTACAGCTGGTTAAAACATATCTCCAACTTTTCCAAGTTTCTTTTGTTAGTGGCCAGTAGGGCAGGGCCCCGCGGGGAATGGGAGCCCTGCTGTGCGGTGGTCAGTCTGCAGCGGGGCAGAAGCCTGTTCCCATCCGGGTGTGTGTGGGATCGCAGACCCCTCTAGCGTGGCCGGGAACCGAGCCGGGGCTCGGATAAAACGAAACAAAAAATGAACACTCAAATGTTTTTGTTAGTTTTTGTTTTGCTTTTTTGAGGGAGGGTAGGGGAAGGTAAGGGGGTAAATAAATTAGGCTAGATTAAAGCTTTGGCTATTTCCTGTTTTATACACAGACGCGGCACTCGCGGCCTCCCCTCCGGGGCCCGGATAAATACAGTATACAGCGATTTAAATTAAGGGCGCGGGCGGAGTGAGAAGAACCCCAGGAACCGAGAGGCTCCGCGAATAAATAAAAACCGTAAAAAACCAAGCCCGGATGAAGGGGAAAGGGGGTGGGGCGCATCCTTAGAGGAGAGAAGAGCCTTGGAGCGAATAAAGTGACAGCCCCCCGCCCTTTACCCGAAAGCTCGGGAGTCCGCGCTGGGGAGAGGGATTGGGGAACTCTCCTCACTTCGTCCTCTCTCCCGGGGAATCCCTAACCCCGCACCGCGTTACCTGTCGCTGTGGGGAGGCCGCTGCCGGGATCCGGCCCCGAACAGCCCGGGGGGCAGGGGCGGGGTCGTCGAGGGGATGGGGATAGGGAGCAGGCGTCGGGCGGAAGGCCGGGGGTGAGTTGGCGCGTTGCGGATCTTCGCTCCTCTCCCCCGAGCCTCGGGCGACGCAGCCTATCGGCGAAGCTGTCTTCGCCGCTCGCCGGAGAAAGTCGTCCGGGTGTTTGGTTTTGTTCGAAAGTTTCTGGGCTTTTTGTAAAATCCAAAGCAACCGAACAAAAAGAGTCCAGGCCGCGCGGGCGGGCGGCGCGTCCGCGCCTCGCTGCGCGCCGGCGGGGGCCCGGCCCGCGGGGTCACTGCACCGAGCCGGGCAGTGTGTGATGATGGTGGTGGTGCAGCGCGGCAGGCGGGGGCGGTGGGGGCGCCGAGGGCGGCGATGCACCACCCCCACCCGGCCCTAGCTCGCCGGGCGCGTAAACGTCGTCCATGGGCGGGTGGCCGGCGCCGGCCGCCGGGGTCATGCGCTTCTCCTTCTGCCGCCGGTTGCAGAACCAGACGCGCACCACCTCCTTCTCCAGTTGTAGGCTGTCGGCCAGGCCCGTGATCTCGTGCGCCGAGGGCTTGGGGCACTTGAGAAAGTGGCTCTCAAGAGCGCCTTTGACCCCCACCTCGATGGACGTGCGCTTCTTGCGCTTGCGGCCCTGCGCCGCGATTTTGTCCAGGTTGGTGGGGCTGCCGCTGGACGAGTCGGTCTCCTCCAGCCACTTGTTGAGCAGCGGCTTGAGCTTGCACATGTTCTTGAAGCTCAGCTGCAGGGCCTCGAAGCGGCAGATAGTGGTCTGCGAAAACACGTTACCATACAGCGTGCCCAGCGCCAGCCCCACGTCGGCTTGCGTGAAGCCCAGCTTGATGCGCCTCTGCTTGAATTGCTTGGCGAATTGCTCCAGGTCGTCCGAGCTGGGTGCGTCCTCGTCCGAGTGCTCACCC